CCTTGAGGTATGAATTTGAAGGGGGTGTCTGCCTTGAGGTATGAATTTGAAGGGGATGTCTGCCTTGAGATATGAATTTGAAGGGGGTGTCTGCCTTGAGGTATGAATTTGAAGGGGGTGTCTGCCTTGAGGTATGAATTTGAAGGGGTGTCTGCCTTGAGGTATACATTTGAAGGGGGTGTCTGCCTTGAGGTATGAATTTGAAGGGGGTGTCTGCCTTGAGGTATGAATTTGAAGGGGTGTCTGCCTTGAGGTATACATTTGAAGGGGGTGTCTGCCTTGAGGTATGCTCGAAAGAAAGGTCTGTCGTGAGGTATGAGTACACGTACGTTACCACACACCGTTACAATGGTTGAAGAATGAGGTTTATTAGGATGTATTAGGTTGGATGAGATATACATGTATCTTAAAATATGAGGTTGAAGGGAATTTATTTTTATTTTTTTATTGCAATGTTATAAGTCTGGCTATAACCCATGACACACAGTGCAAAATTCCATCTGGACTAAGATTACAGTATTTAATGTACGTATTTTATCTGATATAGTATCTTCTTTTGTGTTGTCATGTACGTGTGACTATGTTAGTTTTCGGTGCATTCTGACTTCAATTAAAACCCTGACCCTTTTATGGTATAAATTGCATCTTTTCAGTTTAAAATATATTTAGCCAATGTATGTGGTGTAGCATCGGGCGTCATATCCAAATGTTATCGTCATTCTTTATTACGTTATGCAAGTTTGAATATCAGTTTCTTTAAAAAATACCCGTTTCTGAGATGATTATCATCATCGCCCTAATTTCTGTGTATCCAATTAGTTGTCAAGGTTATCGGATATTGCTTGTTGATAAAGTATAACTAAGTAGGCTGACATCGCCTTGTTTGGAACATGGAGGTAAAAGGAGATTTTTTTACCTCCATGTTTGGAACAACAATAACACGATATAAACATTTACATTGTCTTTATTTACCAATGATTTTTGACACCACAAGGTTCAAAGGAAACTTCCTGAGGACAATTAATGAATCTCTTTATCAAGGGTAAAATGGATTAAGGCTGTCGTAGTATCAGACAACTTATGATCTATAGACTCATCAAAATCAACATATGTGAAAAATATCCATGGAGTCCAAAGATACATTGGTGGAAAATACATAAATGGATGAAACAAAATAGATATGGCCTAACAAAACATGTGCTGCAAATTTGAGGTATTGTTTGTGCTGGATCTCGGCAAGCAAATTAAACTTAGGTACACATCAAAACTACTAAAAAAAACGTACACAATAGTTAGTTCTGCTACTAAACTTAAAGATCGGCAACCTTGGATCACTTTGGCTCAAAACGATATTTAAGTTTCACATGTATGTTGAAAGCGAATATAAACCCACACTTGAATCTAATTTAAACAATTTACTTATTAATTTTGAAATGAACATGACAAAAAAGCTCGACTTACGTTCATCATGACTGTACCGTGGTCAATAGTGGCGCGTGGCAAGGACGGTCTAGTCACATCTGACAACACAATTGGGATAACCCACTGATATATCAATCATTTACTACGTTCACACATTGTTTTATCAAGCCCGGACCTATTGTGATATGTGTACCTGTGGCAATGACTACTTTAATGGTCTCTTCGTTGTTAAAAACATTTATTTAGTAATAAAACACTATGATTACTTTTATAACTATAACGTGAGTTTTACAAGCACACCAATAGATAAAGACAAAAACGCATCTACACAGAATGGATATTAGCCTTCTTCTAGTACATAAGCACAATGAGAGATGATGTAACTCATTGATCGCCAGATTTTACGTATTTATGAAGAAAAAAAAACGCAATGCAAAACCAACTCTTTCTAGAGCACAAATTCAACAAATTTTTACTGTAAAAACAATAGTTAATAAATACACTGAAACAAAATGATAAACTATATAATGCTTCGTAGATTTCCGCATAATTTTATGAATTATTAAAGAGCGATATCGATGGGAAACTTTATCATTTAGTTAAAAACATGTATAACAATATTAAAACATGTATTCACTTTGGCAAAAAAATATCTCAAATATTTAAAACAAATATGGGTGTGAGACAGGGATGTACTATATAAGTCCAATGCTTTTTAATCTTTATTATGTGTATAATTCGAATGACATGCCTCAGAGTTGTAAGCTTTTTTTCCTGTTTGTTACTTGTTGTGGAAATCATTCAGGACACACGGTATAGTCAACCCAAAACACCTTTAGAATTTGTAAGCAATGTTCCCAATTAGTATTGTTATTATTATTATTATTATTATTATTATTATTATTATTATTATTATTGTGGCTATTTCGTGCTACGGTGCCATTTTATGAGAAAATAATTTGTATCGCATTATCTCTGCAGTTATTGTATTTTGAGACAGCATAATGTCAACGATGGATGAGTGTCGGTACCGCTTTGAGACAGACACCAACTAGATTATGTGACGACGCTATTTTGACCCTGATAACTGAATTTAGGTTAACCAGTAGGTAATTTTCCGTTCATTGTGAGATCTCTCTCAACGCGTGAATGATTTTTTTTTTCATTTTCGTCGTTCAATGTCCAAATACCGAGCTTCCGGATAGTTAGCTATATCGTTGGGATGCCATAACTTCGGTAAATTGATCATCGTCAAATGTATATAACACATGAATCCCACGCGATGTTTTGACGGCATTACCACGCTCTCACCTTTGTTTGTCCTGTTTTTACGTTCGATTTCATTCAAACACGGATTCTAGCAGTGAACGGAAAACAGTTTATCAAGAGTAGACAGTAAAAATGCATTTGATATATATTAGTTTTACATTCAACTATTAACAAACATGCCAACATTATATAAATGAACAAGAAACTCAAAAGTCCTAAATACTTCACATGTGCTTTGTATATTTAAAGCGGGGGGGGGGGGGTCTTCACCTGCGCATGCGTCAGATGGCCATAGTCATTGCTTATACATACGTTTTTAGCGCGTGTTGTTATCGTCGCTTGGGACCACAGTCAGCTGGAGCACACGTGATAATAAATAAATACGATATTTACTATTTAGTTTTATTATTTTACGTGTAAGTCCCTCTAAAATAAAAACAAGCATGGCAGCCTCGTGCACGAAGTTTGACCAGACCCCACACAAAGAAGTTGCTAAATCCGTTCTAAACTTTTTGGATTTCGGAATTGCCTTAATGTATCCTTGAGAGAAAAAGATGTATAATAATAAGACTATTACGAATACGTGTTCACACCAAGCTCCGCTCACAATGAAACACAATTCAGTAAGAATGGCATATTGCCATTGCCATTTGAAAACTGAGGGTTATAGCTCTTTTTTTTATTCCAAGCTACATTACTAAGGAGATGAAATCTCCAGAACCAGATTGAGAATCACCGTTCTTCATGCATCTCAAGAGTAAATTGGCAAGCAGTAGTGGATGTGCAGTCAAGAAATCCCAGTGTTGCCAAAATATGGTTGGGAGAATTAGAAACAGCAAAATTCTCAAGTACAACTTTAAAAATGTAAACATACTTTAATAAATACCAGAAACTAAAAATATAAATTGATCAGATTAAAAAAAAAATATAAAAATGAATTGTCTAATCACCAAAAGAAATATGTTTTGGGTTATGTGACCAGTCAGTGATTTCACAAATTCAAATTGCATGCAAAGACCAATCAGATTTATTGCCCAGGACGTGTCATATGTAATATTACTTGTACATCTATCACCAAAAGCCTCTGTACCTCGAATGCAGCACGTCCGTTCGATTCGGCAGTAACCACGTGACTCCCGGGGTCAACACATTTTGTGTTCTACAGTACAAACCACGCATAGTGAACGATGTTTTGCGTTGAATGGCAATATATAATTCAATGAATCGTCATATCAGCCACCATAGAAGTATAGTCATGTCTGTCATTTTGTGCGTTGTTTATTTTCACCTAATAAAATTATAGAACTGCCGTATTCAACGTTTTTTTGACCTTAAATTTGCCATCTCTATTCAAACTTATGTTGTATATTTTTACACTGGAGCACACCAACTCATCAAAATGTATGGAATACTAGTACTGGTTTTACAATATACTAAACTTCAAAACATACCAGTAATGTTTAAAATACAACTCTTTACTGCCCTCGTTCGGCAGAAAATCTGAAATAGGGACTATTTGCCCATTTAAACTGCTATTTTTCCGGGAAAATATTTTATTTTCCAGCATTCTATTTTTCCCACGTTGGTTCAGTTATGGGACCAAGTTCAGATCATTTCCATTTATTTTTCTGTCCACTTAAAACGCGACTTTTATTATATCTTAATACTATGGTGGGATTATTTTTATTTCACGTTTTTCAGCAACTATACTGAGTGGAACTCTGTCTAAGTTATAAGATTGACTTTGAACTCAAATATTTCAACATATTTTGTACAACCTCTTACAAATTGATACTTGATGAAACACACTCGGGGGGGGGGTGCATTGGTCAGTTCTTCGATTGAGTTGTGCAAATGCCGACTATGTCAACCTGTGATGCAATGCGCAAAACCCTGAGAAAAATTTCCAAAAACACGCATGTTTTCTATTCGAGGTACTGAGAATTGAGTTCGCTGTTTCGTAAAAGCTGCAACAGTTGTTCTAAAGCGTATCAGCAGTCATTGAAACATTCTTTTATACAGGGTAAAGACCTGTTACAGGTTATTGACATGACATGCAAATAATTTCTTTAGTTTACATTGCAAACTGAAGCACTAGAGCACGCATTGGAAATAGAATCCTGTCACTCACACAAACTACAGCACAAAAGATCTCCTATTGTCATTTCAGGCTATTATCTCTCAATAAATTATTACTATATGCAACTTAAATAAATAATAGTAAGGTGATCAAAAAATACTGCAAAGTATGCATTCAGGCAGTACAGGATGGCATCAATCTCTGCTACATCTCAACAGATACAATCAATCAAATTCAACAAGCGGTCAAAAAAGCGAGAAAAAAGGTGATTGGAAAGCGGGAGCGGGCGGGAGGTAGTGCGAAATGAGTGCTGTAAATTTGCGCAACTTTCTTTTAAATCGTTTTATTTTCCAAGTCAATAAATATTCTATTTTACTAATTTCATGTTTTCTAACGCAATGGCGAAGAAAAGAAAGAAAGCGTTGACAGATGAGGCAAAGAAAAATCTGCCACTCAGTGTCGCACTCTGACACAGCAATTTTTTTTTTTCAAACATCGACCATTTTGTTTCACCATGAAAATCGTTTTATTAGATCACTTATCAGAGACACTTGAAGGATTAGCTTGTTTGTAAACTGTCAGCGTGTACAGTAGGACAGTAATGTTT